AGCAACCACAGCCCTCACACCATCATCAAACGCCTTACTCATGGCGTTGACGCAACCGTAATTGTGATCAAATGAAAGGAACTCGTAGTCCCCTCCAGGTGCACGGTAGGACCGCGTCTTAATTTCGACGAGGCCACGGCGATGTTTCACAGCCTCATGTGCCGGAACCGGGACGTCGACAATACCCGAGGGCGTACCCAGGGAGAAGGAGGAAGGTTCCGCATCCGTAAGCATGGACGAGGAAACCTCAAACGACAAGGCCGAAGCCTGAGGAGAATGGGAGGGAGACGACATGTCTGCCCGCCCGACTGCACCTGGGATTACCGGGCTTAAACCACGGATATCTCGCCCAAAGTGCCTTCGAGGCTAGGTAGCGCACACCAACTCAACCCTAAGCGAGGGGAGGAGGGAAGTATATGCTTCAAGTGTGGTGAAACAAAATAAACAAACAAAGTGCAAAATAAATAACCGAGCCGAAAAGCTTCAAAGAGGTAAAGGAATATCCCTGGAACGTAAGAAAGGGTGTCCGAAGGAGATTACCAGATTGCGTAAAGAAAGTAAAATATAAAGGGGCACACCCCTTTATATACTAAGGAAATCCTCCATGATTACCAATACAAAAGAATGTCCTTGGCGGCGCGTGCAGCCACGATTCTTCTGTCTGGTTCCTCTATCTTCCGTTACGCGGTACCACATCCCAATTACTGATACAAAGGAAATCCAACTATGCCACTAAGGAAACCACAACCCATATATGCAACCAAACATCCATGTACATTCCGTCTCTATAGTCAGGTGGCCGTGACAGAAATAAATGAGAAGAACATGTGAAGAGCTTATACTCAGAGTCCTAGTGACCCTTTATATAGTCACGCTTCACCTGGTGTGACTCATACCTCACATCACGTAAACCCTGTGACTCATAACTATGAGTCCGGTAAAATCCATCAGCTAACTCCTATGAGTTGCTGCGCAACATACCTATAATCAATGAAAATATAATAACCAAGTCTGGTGCGCAACTCTTATCACCCGAGTAAAACCCATGACTTATAATTTGTGTCGTGTGCCAAAATCATAACATCCCGTGACTCACAATTATGAGTCATCAACAGGTAAATATAATAACCTATGATGCACTAGTATGCGTCATGTGAAATCCCAACAAACCTATACCTCGAAATTCCAAGCTATGTAAAATCTGCCTTGCTTAGTCACAGTTTATAATACTTTCCCAAAGAGCCCAGAGATCATTAGTTCGAGGGGCCCAGCTCTACAGAGATTAGAGTAGGGAGAAATTATATCAGATATTGGCTCTAAATCTCTCTGTTTCTACAATGGACTGGGCTCTCAGGGAGTGTGGTGTTAAGAAGTGGTTAGCCAAGAAATAATCAAAGCTTTCACTAGAGCATGCTTAGAAGAGGCTGGCCTGGGCTAAGGCACACCAGAATTAGACTGTAGAGAAGTTTGAAGGTATTATTTGGAGTGATGAATGCTCAGTGGAAAAGAGTAGGAATCTAAAACAAAAATAGGTATTCAGATTTGCTTCTAAAAAGTGGCATCCAAACTGTGTGTGAGGGATAGGACAGGGGAAGGAGATTTCTTTGATGGTCTGGGAATGCTTCTGGGGCAGAAATAGGGGAACCTTTGTTCTCTTAGTTGTAAAATCTGTAGACCAGTGGGTCTACCTCCAACTGCTTGAAACCTGCCTAATTCCAGTCCTGGAGCAAGTCCGTGACACCCTTGGTGATCCTATCTTCCGGCAAGACAACTATACTGTTCATACATCTCAGGCAGTATAAGATTGGTTTGACTAAAATGGGATTGAGTTAGCTGAACATCCTCCTTGTTCATCAGATCTTAATCCCCTAAAACATATCTGGGTTGAGCTGAAGAAAAGACTTCAGATTCAGTATTCTGACATTGCTTCAACACCTGGTGGTCCTAAGAAAGTCAAGCAGAAGCTAGCTGAGCTATTCCCCATAGTAATAGGATACAATACCTTCTGAGCTTTTTGAGCAGTTGTGGAGATCAATGCCAGACAGAGTTCAAGTAGTTATTGCAGCAAAGGGGTGCTATACAAGATACTAGGAATAACTTTTTTTATTTTTTATTTCATCAATATGTAAATAGCGGTCTTTCATTTTATTTCCTTTAATCTCTTCTCATTTAAAAGATTTGTTGTTGAGTTATTTCAAAATCTCTACCCCCACCATACCATTGTTGCCATGGCCAAGATGCACAATCACCAAGACTTTTGCGTAGGTACTTTACCTACTATCCTACTAGTTACTTGGCAGCCCTTGTACGAAAACATCACCCATGGCACTTGTACCTCCGTACATTAAAGTTAGCTGAAACATTATGTTGCAATAAACTAATCCAGATTAGGCTACAATATTGCCAAATGCTGTCGCAATAGTCTTGGCAGAGAACCAGATAATAGCAGATAATCCGGCAGTCTATCATACCTCTTCCCCTTTCTTCGCATGACATTAACCATTCAAAGATTACTAACACTCAACCCTACCCGACCGGAACCCGGCAGGCGCAGCCCTTTCCTCCACTCAAAATCAAGAAAACCCAATTTCCACCCAATCAAGCTACGGTAAAAACTCAAATCCCACACCTCCCTCCCTCCCTCCCTCCCTCGAACCAACCGACCAACCAACGAGCATGACAAAGTTTAATAAAAAATAAAAATAAAAATACATACCGGTATTCGGGTAGCTGCCCGACCCCTCGTGGCAAGAGTGAGAAACAGAACGCGGGGGGGGGGGGGAGGAGGCTGTGATTTGAGCTATGGTATCATACCGTACCCGGTCGGTAGTCTACGGGTATCAGCACAGCCAAGCCAAGCGTGGCGAATGTTAATAATATAAAACATTTCATTCGCGACAGAAATGCCATGAATGTCAGAATGAAGAAAAAATGCCTTTTTTTCTTCTTCTTGCCCGATTGACTGCCGGAGGGAACAGACAGGAACCAAAATAAATCTCGATTTGCATTTTTTTTTCTTTTTCAAATCCTTATTTGTACTCGAGTATTTTACCGTACTGTAGTGTTGAGTGCCGGTATGATATGATATGATGGATGGATACAAAAAGTTACGATATCGTAGAAATAAAAAAATCCAACGGACCCTTCTCGCCGGCCCCTTCGCTACGGGAAGTGTGGCCGGTGCGTTGCAGCGGCAGGGCGCTGACCGCGCCCTACGGTACGGTATCATACTTACGGTACAAGTACTTGTATCATAGTTCTACCGGTGGTACGAGTATGATATGTTACAAGCCCCAGAAGCACTTGTTACGGTACTTACCGGTATGCTCACGATGGGGGGGGAGGGAAAGGAGAAAGGAGGAGAAGAAGAAAAAAGAAAAAGAAAAAGGAAAAGTTGCCCTCCCTCCCCCTAGCACGAGTTTAAATATCGCTCCGTTTCCCAGAAATCGGTTTCACGGTTGGGTACTTTTTTTTCATGCACCGGAGAAATATCATACAAGTACCGTAGTTTACGGTACGGTGCCGCTAAACGCATACCGGTAGCGGTAAGTTCGACTACCGGTACCGTATGATACACGCTTTCACGGTACTTTGTCTGGGAGGTAGGTGGGTATTATACGGTACTATGTGATCGGGCGGTGCGGTGGTACGGCGATCGGGTTGAGCAGAGAGACAAAAATAACCGGCGGGTAAGTAAGTGAGTGAGTGAGGAAGTACGATAGGTGAGCGAGCACCCTTCTCTCATCCTGCCTGCATTTATGGTCTACCGTACTATACTAGTACTCAGGTACAGTAGGGAGAGTAATGGCTACAGTGGAGCGGTTTTCTTGGGGTATGGAGAGAAGAAGTTCGAGTAGATGTTTGGATTAGGTTAGGTACGGTGATTTAGGAGAAGGGAGGGAGAGAAAGCAACTTATAATACTGTACGAGGATAAACACGCGAGGACAGAGCATCGAGTACGGTACTCGTATTTTTCGCATTCTTCTTCATCTCCTCCAGAAGCTGAGTGGAGGAGGAGGGGGAGGAGAATCCATCGTTCATGTGCGTATGGATCACAGCGGGTATGATACAGTGGATAGCACGAGTTACCGTGTAGCCACCCCCGTGGTTCTAGCTTGGGCGGGGGTCGCTTGTGCTACGCTTTGCTACGGCCGTCGGCTTACTCGAGTATGATACGGGAATTACTATGCATCAGCATACGGTACAAGTACTCGTACATGGTGTCTAATACGGTAACTTGCAATAAAGCGAGAGAGAGCGTTTCAACCCTCTCTCTCGAAAAAAAGCATCTCGGAATATTTCGTCTCAAATTACACTCTGTTTGTTCGATTGATTCGATGATGGGAGAGAGAATGAATCAACCCGCAAACGACCCTTCCACGCTGACACAAAACGGCACAATCCCACCCACACAGCATGCACTCACCTCACACACCCCTGTGTGCTTTTAGAACTTCATGTATGTTACTGTAAAGCGACCCACGCTCCCAACGTGGAAGGAGTGCGGCTGAGCTTTTCTTGCTCTGCCTCGTATCCTCGTTTTTCCAAATGCCAATACCGCGCAAGCCATCTGGAGTAACCAACCAACCCTTATTGCTGTACGGGGGGGATTGAAGGAAAAAAACTCCTTTAGGTGAGCGGGTCCTGCCTGCCTGCCTACCCGGCTGGGTTGCTTACTATTTTCTGTGAGCGCCTTGGATTTCTTTTTGCACACGATATGAGTTATACGCCAGCTGCGTGGGTACTCGATCGGTTATCATTCAAGGAAAGTGAGGATGGAGCGGGAGGAGTTGTGTTAGGGCTTCTTGCTCCGCTTTGCTTTGCTTTGTGAAAGAGTGCTGTGGAGGGTCTGGTTCGAATATAGGGTAGGATGGTGGAGGGACCGGTATGCCGAGACAGTTAATGAGTGGTCTAGCGCTTATTGCTTTTGCCCGTTCTGCTTGGCTCCTCTCTTAGGGGGGGGGGGCGAGTGGCTGAGGTTGAATTGGGACTATTTCCCTATGCTTTTGCTTGCTGGCCCCGTTTCTGCTCACTTGCTCCTTCTCCGTTCCTTCCCTCTCGTTTCCTGGAAATATCTCACGATCCTTCCTCCTCCTTCACCCTCTGTCCACCCCCCACCCTCCTACTCCTTCACAATCCCTCCAACGGGGACTCGATCGAAGGACCAAGACAATCAGGATAGCGAAACAAAGTAAAATAGGGTGGAGAGGGGAAATAGGAACGCTCGAAATGTGGTCCAACCTCCTCTCAGCCGCATTCCTCTACGGACTACTGTCAACAACCGTCGTCGTCGCGCAAACCTGCGATCCCAGCCAGTGCCCAGGGCTGCCATGCTGCCCTAGGGACAGCTCTGCGGGGCCCCAGCTTTCGCCCACCGTTTCGCCTCCCTCAAATCTGGGCCCTACGAACGTTTCCGGGGCGGCAGAATCGCAGGTCCCGGGAAAAGAGCCCACTGGGAGCGCAAATCCTACCGGGAGCGCAAACCCTACTGGGAGCGCAAATCCTACTGGTAGTAGTCCGAACCAGAACAAGGCCGGAGAGACCTCCATCGTCAGTACCCCACTGGCGGAGGCAAAAGCGGGAAACGGAAAGGATAACACTGGAGCTATAGCCGGAGGAGTTGTTGGTGGGATACTCTTTCTTGTGCTCGTTGGCGCCTTGGTATTCTTTTGGAGAAGAAGGAAGAGGGCTCGCGATCCTCTTGGCTCTGTAGAGAAATCTGGCAAGATCCTCCACCCCCTCGCAGTCACGTGTGGTATACTAACCCCCCTCTCACCAGCCGACGAAACGGCCCCCGGTTACCAAGACCCAAGCCCCCCCTCTCCCGTCCCAATCGTCGCCGCTCGGGAGTCACCTCAACCCTATCACAACGCGGCAACCCCCAATGAAGCTCATGGTTTAATGTCCCACTATGGCGACGCGCAGCCACAGCACGTACCCCAGGAAGTCCAACCAGTCATCATGGCGGCCAAACCATACGATGTGAACCCCTCGTCTCGCGAGATCCGTGATGGCGATGAAAACGATGGTATCTCGATAAATAGCCCTTCACCAGTGACCACGCCAAGTCCCGAGCGACAGCATGAACAGCAGAGGAGTGTGCCGAGGTTGCCGATTTATCAGGCAGGAAGGAAGGATGATGTTGGGGGGAATACGCCGCCCCCAGCATTATAATGTTTCGGTCAGTTAGTGATTGCGGCGATTAGTCTGGGGAGGAAAAAGAGGTGAGCGGGGGGGGGGGGTTTATTCATTTTTATAACTTTTTTTATATATATAGGATTGTATTTGAACGATTGGGATGTTCATCTTATTCTTTCTCGACGCTCGTATTATGCTGGACGGATGGTGGTGCTACTGAATTTATTTATTTAGTTCCCCGAAGTTCTCTTTTTCTTTTTTTTTTCTTTCTTTCTTTGGAACACGACAAGGATAAGCCGTTTACCAGGAAGGCAGAACGACGGGAACACGAGTCATCACTCGAGAATTGGTCAAATCGAGTCGAATTGGGGGATCTAATGAGATGAAAGCGAGCCATTCAATGTGCACGAAGGGGAGAGGGGGGAGAGAAAAAAAAAAGAGGGGGCGCTTTACGATTTACCGTAACTTTGGGAAATTATCCACCACCAACCACTCCCCCGAAAGTGTACGAGTACCGTACTGTATCGTATACGAGTTGTAAGCTACGAATCCGTAGCTGG